TGTTTTGGGGAGCTTGGAAACATTGTCCTTAACAGTCCTGAGTGTGCTATGGAAATTACATATACAGTTTCCAGACAGATTACCTCCCCAGTGGGTACAGCTGAGATTATCACCTCACATTCATGAGGTAGAAAGACAACTGGAAATTGCCCTGTTTTCTTGTCTGTATCTTCCCTAGATATACTGGTTTGAATGAGAATGCCCTGCATAGACTCAGTATTTGCACATTAGTTCCCAGTTGATGAGCTGTCAAGGAAGGGTTAGCGTGAAGGGAACCTTCAAGAACAGAAAGCTGATGCATATGTAATTGAACTAGGGGGCCAGGAACTCCAGCAAGCAGTTTCTTTGTCAACTTTGGTCAAGCTGTCTGGCTCTAGAGTAAACAGTGCAGGAGAAGTAAAGGTGTTGTGGAATCTTTTATGCTGTTAGGGAAAGCTGCTGAGGCCAGGCTTTTGGCAGGGAGAGGCACTGCATGGAGAGGCCTCTAGAAGCCACAGAGTGAAGCTGTAGCCTGGATTGTATTGGAAACCCCAGATGTTGGAGATGCCAGAGTCATAGGATATTTGCCAAAAAGAGCTGCTAACAGAGTGGAACTAGCCCAAGAAGCAGAAGTGTGTTGTAGTCAACACAGCAGAAAGAAATTGGAGATCCAAAGAATGCTTTAATGTTAAGACATAGATGCAGAATTTGGAGTTTTCCCTGCTAGGTTTTGTCTTGCTTTGGTCCAGCATTTCCTCACTATGCACCCCCTTCTCCTTTTTGGAATGGTAATGTATATCCTCTGACATTGTATGCTGAAAGTCTGTGGTCTGCTTTTAGATTTTACAGGGCATTGCAGTTAAAGAGATCACCTTGAGTCTCAGAAGAGACTTGGGACTCTTAGTCTTAAGACTGAAAGACTATGGAGACGTTTGAAGTTGGACTCAATGCATTTTACATTATGAAATGACTACATGCTTATGGGTGCCAGGGAGTGGAATGTAGTGGACTGAATGAGAATGGCCCCTAAAGGCTCATACATTTGCATGCTTACTAGTCCCCAGCTGATGAACTGTTTGGAAAAGATTAGAAGGTGTGGCCTTGTTGGAGCACATAGGAGGAGACTGTGCATTCATTTCCTGGCCACTCAGACCCGAATAATCACACAGAAACTATATTAATTAAAACACCGCTTGACCTATTAGCTCAGGATGCTTATTAACTAACTCTTACATCTTAAATTAATCTGTTTCTATTATTCTGTGTATTGCCACAAGGCTGTGGCTTACCGGGTAAAGTTCTGGCATCTGTCTCCTTTGGCAGCTATATAGCATCTCCCTTACTCTACCTTCTATTTTTCCTCTATCTCTGCTTGGAATATTCTTGCTTGCTCTATTCTTCCCTGTCATAAGCCCAACTTTATTATTTATTCACTAACCAATAAAGGCAATATGTATACAGAAGGACTTCCCACACCAGGAGGAGGTGTGTTCTTATTGGAGGAGGAGGGTTACTAGGTGAGGGCTTTGAGATTTCAAAGATCTCTCTGTCTCTCTCTGTCTCTCTCTGTCTCTCTCTGTCTCTCTCTGTCTCTCTCTCTCTGTCTCTCTCTCTCTGTCTCTCTCTCTCTCTCTCTCTGTCTCTCTCTCTCTCTCCCCCTGTTGCCTGTGGATTGGGATGTAAAAATCTCAGCTACTTCTCCAGCATGTAAAATTCTCAGCTGATGCCTGCCTGTCTGCTGTCATGCTTCATGACAATAGAAAAGAAACGAAGACATTAGCCTATTTTTGTCATATGCAATAGTCAAAGTTTTTAGTTTTCATGATCTGGGCAGGGACTGGAAAATGTATATCTACTACTCCTTGATGGACACATGTTGTCTTCAAGTACAAAAGCGGATCCCTTATTCAGACTCTGAGCATGCAGAGGAATTTATGCAACAATGGCATCATCACATCTTCTCAGACTCAGATTTCCCATTGGGTCCTAGACATGACAAAGTAGACCCGCGTCCACACACCCGCATATCTATGCCATGCACAGCATGTATGCTTGGATTGTGCATCTCCAGCCATTATACCACCATGGATGACTGGTATAGATAGAGAGGGAGGGAAGAAGGGCAAATAGGGAAAGTCTTAGCCATTCTCTGTCCAGTTATAAGGTTCGTCAGCAACAGAAGTGGGCAGTCTTTGAGGTTCAGCTCCCTAAAGTGTGCCTGTCACAATGTTCTTGTGAAGTTCAATCGTCGACTAATAGGAACAGCTTGTTGGAAGAATGGCCTCACAGGCAGGCAGTAGTTCTACCACTGTGGTAGTGTTCTCACCTCATGTCCTTCCCAGAGCAGACGGTTCTTCCAGTGTGGCTTCCCTCTTCTCCCAGTGCTCTACTTTCTAATCTCAAAACTATCCTTCCTCTGATTTATAAGAATCCAGGCTTTCCCAAAACACTAATCTTTTTTCAGGTTACATTATCCATGAAAATATCCTAATCTTTATTTAGTCCCTATGCTGAAAAGTTCCGTTATTTTTCCTCATAACTGAAAACATGCCTTAAATCATTTGGGTGGCCCAGAATAAATGTTTGGTTAATTACTTACTTGGAGAAAGTTTCTTCTCTATTCTTCAATTGCCAAAACTTTTTATTGAAACCATTAGATCTATTCTTTCCTCTCCACACTGCACACTTAAGCATGAAACATCTCTAGAGAACACACAACAGATGTTACAAATATAATCACAGGTCATATTACAACACTTTGGTCACTAAGTATATACATCAGGGATGCCAAGGCCACCTACCACAAAGCATTGCTCATTTGTTTGTGGTGGTGCTGGGCAAGCCTACTGTAGCACCAGTCAAACGGAAGGACAGCACAGGCCTGGGGATATGCTCAGTGGTAGAGTGCTGCATTTGATTACCGGGAGCACACAAAGGTCAGGATACTTAATAACGATAATAAATGTCACTGCCTTATTTAGTCAAAATACCGTGTTTTCATCAATAATGAGTATTACTTTTATTTATAGGAAACTTTTTAGTTTGAAGCAGCATGCCCCATTACATGGGCAGCAGGCTCCTAGGCCTTGGGTTTATGTGGTAGTCCTGACTGCAATCACAGCGATGACTCAAGCCACTTAGCTTTGTGTGATGTTATGATGCTCATGAGATGGCAGAATCCCATAATGCATTTTTCAGAATGCAGTGCCACAAGAGAAGACTACTGGGCTAAAATAAAACTTCCTTGATTTATGCAAAGAAAAAGAAAAACCAGGAATAGAATTGATGAATGAATGTTCCTACTCACAGAGACCAGAGGAAAGACTGATGAAGATGAGATGGGGGAAACGTGAAAATCTTATTTCCGCAGCGCAATAGATATGTCCCCAAGTTGGAAACTTGTAGTCTCAGGTTGTAATGAAGAGGGCACCCTGAACAAGTCATGATATTACCCCTGGTAGTCAATGATATTTCAGAAGAAATTTCACATTGTATTTATGTTCTGTTAAACAAAATAGATTTAATATATATTTCATCAAAATTTATTAAACAATAAATACAACATTGAGAACATTCATTTGCATGGAAGTCCTTAGAGCTGCTTGGTTCTAGAACAGTGGGACACTATCCAGCATGACACCCATTCAGTGACATGAATGAACACTGGCAGATATAACAGAAAGGCTGTGTTTCCACAAAGAGTTGACAGGTGGCACACACAGAAGCAAAGGTTGAACTATACCAAAAAGCTTTGTCCACATGCTTCACAAATGTCATGCAGTCAAGTTTATGAACATGTTCGTTCCATTTGGTAATGTAGTTGTGAGAACTAACATTTGACACTTCACTGAGGGATTCAGCACTGTCCAAAGAAGTTGGATGGTGCAAGGAAACTGTGGGCTGGGCTGTGTATGCATGCAAGGCCTAGGCCATTTGCCCAGGTACATGTCTTTCAACTGGAAGCAGGTGAATTTACTAGTCACTTGAAGAACATACAACCACAAAGCCAAGGTTGTTGGAATATCACAAAATGATTAAGTTAAAGCTAGAAAAGAAACAAAATTACAAATTATTGTACCTACCTTATATTCATGAGAATTTTGCATATTTCCACTTTGTAATAGCTTTGTGAGAGAAATGAGGAAGCCCACCCTCTCACTGATGCCACCCAAGCTCATGCTCTGGTCTAAAATACACTTTCCTTACACCGCTCTGGCCTCATTCTCTTACTTACAAAAGTCTAATTGTCTTTCCTAAGGCCGGCCCTCCCTCTATTACTTCCCAAATCTCAGAAAACTGATGAAACCTCCCTCTGTGTGCGAATTGGGGCCATGTGGTTGGGAAACCAGAGGCAACTAAAAAGAAAGGGGAAGGAAGAGACGATATGATCAGTGTAAAAATATAGACTAGTAATGTGTCTATGGAATAGTTGAAAATGTCAGAGGTCATGGGTAGGACAGAAATAGCAGCGAAGGCTAGAAAAACAGTGAGTTGTTGGGAAGTGAATACAAGAAGGAATAACAGGACGAGTAACTGCTCCTAGGCAGCAAGGGGAACAACTTAACATGAACAGAAAATGCAGTCAAAGTGTAGAGTGAGAACCATGACATAGACTGTAGCACACTGAGAGAGGAGTAGTGAGGTCGGGTCACATATGATAGCACATCCAAGAGGAAGAGAATGAAGCAGAGCAGAGTCATGTGCAACAAGAAAAACTGCACACTCACGTATGTTTATATGTGTGTATGTATATGCATATATACACATATACAGACATATATGTGCATATACATACACATGATACCCATGTATCATGGAGAGAGTAGTTTCAAGGGCATGATAGAGAAGGGGCTGAAGTGAAAATTTAAATGTTAAAAAATGTTTAAAGAGTTGTGCTATGTGCCATCTCTGGGTTAAGGAAGGAAGTAGGTTGGAAGTGGCAATGGGGATATGCTGAGGTTAGAGAAAGCAGGATACTAAGTGAGGAAAAGATCTGATCAGTTATCTCAATGGATTCTCACCAGAGAAGACAGGAAGATTCACATTCATCTTGTACTAACTCCAATCTAGAAACAACATAAGAAAAGTTCAAGTTGACCTGTAACACTTATTTTTTGTTAACAAATACATATTATGAGATAAAAATTATATTATATTTTGCAACATATTAGCTTTATTAAACAGTATGTGATATAGTTCAAAACTCAAGGTAAAATAACAAATGTCAAAAATACATTTTATTTATGTTATTTCGTAAAGCCTGGTGTATTAAGTTAGCAAATAATTTTTACCAGATGACTTTGGATTCACAGAAGGCTGAGATTCAAAAGACTGCCAAGTTAAAAGCGCACAGTGAACAGAACATTGCCCAGTTTCTCTGCACATTGCTGTTCAAACAGCTTTTCCTTTGAGAAACTTTGACTATGTTCCTTCTTCCTACTGCCTCACGACATAACCTCATTCTGATTGGACAAGATAGAGTGAACTGAAGTACCTGAGTATGGACATCCCTCTGTATGCTGCCCCTGCAAGCAACGTGCAGCGCGCTATGACTGCTAACAGTCGTGCCTTTTATCCAATACTGTATTACTTACAAACATTCTGTTACTGTTTTATTAAAGCATTAAAAGTTGTCACTAAGTACTGAGACTTCACGGAAGCACTCATTGTGAAAGGACATATTCTATATTGGAAGAAATGGAAACAACCATTTTGACTTATCAATTAATTATTAGTTATGCTAATTTTGTTCCCGCTAATATTTTGAAAGTCAAGACCTTCCTTTTTAAACTTCTTGAAATCTCATCAATTTACCTTGTGTATCTGTGTCTATGTGAGTGTGTGTGTGTGCATGCGTGCTTGCACACATGCTGGGGAAGGTGGCATGTAAATGGCAGTCCGAGGACCACTTGTGTTGCACATGTGGTTCCTGGGGACTGACCTCAGGTCATCAAGCCTGCTGGTAAGCACCTGTACCTGCTGATCCAGACTGCCATTCTAAAAACCTGCAACTTTTCATGATTTTACCATAATAACCGTTACTAAACACTGGTGCAGCTTTAGGACAAGATTCAATTCATGAGTTGCTTTATAGGAGTGAAATTGTGCCAAGGGCAGACTTTGTTATATGAGGTACACTGGAATGCAGCATCCATGGGAAGGAAATGGCAAGAAGTTGGATGGAAGGTGTAGTTTTATATTACAGTTAACATGCTCTTCACCAGTATGGGTGTTTTGTAATTTGTGTTTAAAGACTAACATCCAAATATACATTTAATGGACACGTGTGTTCTTTGCTATGTAATTCCAGCGAGTGCTTGCCTTCTGCACCCTTACACCCACACATACACTCAGGGTCTACCCTACATCCCTGTCTGAGTATGGCTTTATGTTTTTAACTGTTCCTATATTTTAATATTGGCAGTTAGGAAATCTAATGTAATACAAGGTGAGATACAATGCTTATATAACTTCATTTTTTTACAAAATTTAAAATGTGCTAACTTACTTCACTAGATAAATTTTGGCACTTCAGTCTGTGTCTGTAGTTTTCATTTTCTGCAATCATTCTGGAAATGACTTTGCTAACTTTTTTCCACGCTAAGACCTTGAAAAGATAAACAGCGTTAAGAAACACTGGGCACAAGTGTGCAAAGCCTTTCGATGGAGGTAACCGAGAGTGACTGCTGGTCTGTGTGTTTGTCAGTGTTATCAGTGTGAAGCAATACACAGAGGACCATTAAGTCCATGACCCCAGGGGTCACCAACTTGTCTGACCTCTTCCTGTAGTGTTTAAGCCACCTCTCCCGGATGATGCTGCCTTTTAATCCCAGCACTTGGGAGGCAGAGGCAGGAGGATCTCTGTGAGTTCGAGACCAGCCTGGTCTACAAGAGCTAGTTCCGGGACAGGCACCAAAGCTACAGAGAAACCCTGTCTCGAAAAACCAAAAAAAAAAAAAAANAAAAAAAAAAAAAAAAAAAAAAAAAAAAAGAAAGAAAGAAAAAAAACCCAAAAAACAATGTCTGCAAAATCTTGCTAAGTGGGTCCAGCACATCCAATTTTCAAAAGGTACTAAAAATACTGAATTTCTATTCCTGTTTATGCTTCATTTATAATGTATTTTATTCTCAGTAAGAATTAACTACTTCTCCTAGGAGATAGCCAGACAAAGTTACTAGAGATTATGAACATACTACAATAGAAAAAAAAACCTATAAAATCAAATATCTACATATAGACTTTTTTTTTTGCTACTAAGCAGTTTGACATTTGACAAGCATTTAAGCATCTAGAAGCATCTTTATGCTCTGAGCAATGGGACGAAGAGTGTGCATGTAAATCCCTTACCCCAGGGCACAGCACGTGATGTTTAGAGGTAAGCACTGGCTGTGTTCCTATCTCCTCACCCAAAGGAAAATGGCTTTTGAAGGAAGCAGGTCTCAGTGCAGGGGAAGACTGCAGCTTACTTCAGATATATCCGGTATAAGTGTTAGTTACCCTGAGTACTGTTTTAGACCTGCATGGGCTATACACCAAACACGCAGGAATTTATGTGACATGCTAACTAATAAATTCTTTAAAGTAAAATGGCGAGCATGGATGAGCACAGCAGTTCTCTGAAGTATGTTCAAAATGCCTGAGTTACCATGACGTTTGGCAACCAGTGGTGAGAAGGGTTCAGCAATAAAGTTCATCTTTGTCATCTTCCTGCCTAAAAAGTCACATATGTTCTTTGCTTTGGAAAGAGTAATGTGACACCAGTGTAGATATATTCTTTCCTATGAAGCCTGTGATCTTCTTCCTATGCTGCTTTATATATAGCAGTTAGCAATACTCTGTGGAACATAGGTTATGCTTTGAAAGAAATCTCTTGGCAGGTTATTTTTTCATTAAAATGTATTTTATACTTTCAAATATCAGAACTATTTTTCATAGTTAATAAATATTTCCAAGCTCAGTATCATTTTTGGGCAAGTTTCTTCTATTTCCTCATTTCAGAAAATGAAGTTATGAAGGAGATGGACTTTGTCTCACTGTCCTGGAACCTGTGTCCACTGTACTCACAGAGGGAGGTCTAAACCTTAAACACTGTGGATTCTCCTTTAGGGCAGCATACCTTTTTCATTTCCTTCATTGTTTTGGAGGACTCATCCAGTGGTATGGGGAAATCAAACTCTTCAGCTGCAGTTTTCTGCTTTAAACCTATTTTTTTAAGAAAAGAAAGATATCAAAATTAATACATATTGTAAAAAGCACTATCCTGAAAAGAGAGGTCATAGCAATGTCTCCGAAGCTCTCTGGGGGGTGTTTAGACTTGGTGCTCTATTTCTGTTGACTCTCTGGAGTCCCTTCTATCTGCTGCCTTTGCCTTCAGCACACCTACCTTAACTCCCCCACTTCACTCCTGACAGACCACCCTCTATACCTGGCTTTCCTTTGCACATTCAACAGCTTTCCAGGGAACATTCTTGGATCCTACAAACCATGATGGGTTGTCACAGAACTTCACAGTTTGCTTGAGAAGTGTCTTTTCCTCTGGCAATCCAGTTCTAGTTTGTAGATAGTAGGTAGGTAACACATTACATTTGTTGAATGAACGGAAATGTGTTCCCAAATGGCATTTACTAATTTGAGAGGCATATGCCACTGATTCTGGGTGGGACACAGAATGAGATGAAGGATCTTGGTTAAGTCACATTGTGAGAAACTCATTCCCTTGCCAACTCTTCCAATCTCTTCCAACAGAGGAAGCCTGAGTTTGTTCACGTGTAATTTAGAGATCTCCGAGACTTGCTGCTTTTTCTTTATGACACAGATACTTTCTAGCAGGAAATCTATTTACTATAATTGAACAATATTGTTTTCCCATTATTAGCTTGTAATTATTTTCTCTTCTTAGCAAGCACACACACACACATACATACACACACAGTGTTCTAATGAAATTTAGATAAGAGGAGAAAATTACCTATTTAAATAAATACTCTAAGTAAACTAGCACACATGCAGATGTGGCATGAACACTCAAGTCTGACAAGTTCTGCTCAGACTTATCTTCCCCTTTGAATGCCACAACTTTCAGAGCAGAATGTTTTCATCGTTTCCACTGTTTCCTACTAATAAGACTCACCTAATCTGTTCCTACACTCCTTAAAGTAAGACAGGGGCCATGAAGTCTATTAAAAGCACAGCGAGAAGTAAAACACATGTGCACAAGAAAAACATGTCTTTCATTTCTTCCTGTGCTGTGACTGGGCACCAGGGTATGCTACACCATGGATTTAGTACCAACTTACGCTCCCAGTCTTCTGGTTCTTGTTGCCCATGCTCTGACCCTATCAAGCTGTACCTGTAGCTCTTCCCTGGTCACTGGCGATGGTCATCCATCCTCCATACTCTGCTCACACATTTCTCTACCTGTAACTTGTCCATCTCTCAGCATTCTCTGCCATGGTGCTTTCCTTGATTTCGTTATCCTCCAATTATTCACTGTTTCCAAAGTATCCATTGTACACCTCCACAATAGCACTCCTCATCTTTATTTATGACGCATGACTATCTCCCAAGCACAGTGGCAGGGAACCAGGCTGACCTATTAGTCTTGCCTGAAACGTTAGCTTTGCCTGCTGCTTGCCCCTTGGCTTTCAAAGCACCAGCACGTCGGAGAATGGCTTACCAGCCTGACTTCATTAGGCACCTGTCTCTGGTGACATCATCCCACCATCAATCCCATCTTTAGGGGTTATAGACATGAAAATCACTCTACGATTTAATCAAAAACTTGTTTTTCATTCATTCAGTAAACGTTTAGTACATGTTGTTAGTCATTCTTGTTCCTCCAAGCCATCTGCTCACTGTGCCAACATTTACTGAGAGCTTATTCCATGCTAAACACCACATTAGGTGCACAGCACAAGCTGAGTTATTTAATCTTCACAGCGACCCCTTGAGGATGAAATCATTATCCACACTTGAAAGGTGATAAATTTTTAGAATCAGGCCGGATAACTAAAATGGCAATATTATATTTCCAGTAATTAACAGAGTTATGGTTGTTTTTCTGACTTCAAAGCCAGAGCTCTTGATCATCTCTACTGTCCCACCAGAAATGTCTCCATTTCTCTCCTCTTGATTTCCTGTCTTGTGCCTCTTTCTGTTTCTAAACTTGATCAGGTCTCTTTCTTTCAGCACTCACACCTGCTGACTTAAATACCCATATCCACACGTGAGTCTCTCGAGTACAGAACAGTCACCTGATACTGCCATTAGCATTTGACTGATTGTTTACAACATGGTAGATGCTAAATGGATGAATATTCATTTTTAGTTCCCATGGACTTCTAACAAATGTTTATTTAATATGAAATACAACCAAGACTGAGTAAACCTAAGTACTTTATACTTTTTGGCTTAGCCCACGTGCATGTCTCTCTCAAGGCCTCCTTCCCTTGAATACATTCCTGGTTTTACAATCTCAGCAAGGAGGTTATGGAAGTTAATAGCTTTGCTCTTCACACAGTGGCCCAGTACAGATATATCAGCCACAGCCTCAACTATCCCCTCTCTCTTCCAATCAGTTATCAGGTCTGTCTATTTACCTCTACAGCTTCAGTCCTGGACTTTCAATTTCTACTGGACTACTATCACTGCCTTGAAGCTGTTTTCCAGCCTCTTATCAGCTGTAAAGCCAAATTAAATCCATCCTGTATCTGAAAATACTAAATAAATAAATAACAAGGCATATCAGAACATGAAGTGCAGAGAAGATATTTAAGTATGTAATCCGAAGGACCAAATCCCACACAGGGTACCAAGCAAGCAGTTGAATGGAACAGACTCGGGTGAAAAGGGAAACCGGGATTCTTAAGGAAAATCTTTCTGGCATGGTTTCTGGAAGAGGGGAGAGGGAATGGTCATAAGCTGAGTTACAAAGGAAACACCGCTAACATGTAAGACAGTGGAGATGCTAGGAATATCATTATCTGATCACAATGCAATAAAACAGAAATCACTAGCAAAACCAAAGGAATAGGAAGGTCTCAGAATTTCAAACCTTTAAAATATGTTAAGCTGTACCAGTGTCACATGAATGCGCAGAATGAAATTAGAGAACATTTTAAAAATCAACAGTGGGATATTACATATTGAGATGTGTGGGTGGTACTAAAAGTGGTTAAAACAAATTCGCCATACTAAATGCTTCCAGATTTTAAAAAGCAAATGAAATGCCTGATTTTCAATCTACATATTCAGCACAATCCTGATAAAAATTTCAATGATATTCTTCATATAAGTAGAAAACAACAATATTAAAACTCATTTGAAAGCACAAAGTATCCAGAAGAGGCAAAGCAATTCTGAATAAAAAAAAAATAATGCTGATGCTATCAATATGCTTAATGTTGAATCACATGACAGTCACAAACACCATGGTCCTGAGGACATGTAAAATGATGGACAGAACAGGAGTCCAGCTAGAAACCAGCACAACTAGTCACCGAGTCCTGACAAAGACAGACAGAACAGCGTTGAAGACAGCCTCACCTACAAATGGTGGAATGGGAAGCTCACATGCAGAAGAAAGAAACTAGTCTCCATTTCTTATCCTACACACACACAAAAACAAAACAAAACAAAAACCCACTCTGAATGGGGGAAAGAACCTTAATATAAAATCTGAAACTGGAAAAAGTAGACAACATACTTCAAGATATAGGTAAGGAAAGGACTTTCTGTGTATGATCCCAGTTGCCAAGGGAATAAGGTCAACAATCAACAAATGGGATCTCACAAAAAGAAAAATCTGTGTAACAAAGCGAACAGTTGAGTAAAGAGAGGCCACAGACTAGAGAAATATTTGTTGGCTACACATCTGAGAGGATTAGTCAGTGGAATAAACAAAGAGCTAAAAAAACTGATCAATAAGAAAGCAACCCCACCCCTCACCCCGCAAATGAAATAATGAAAGGAATAGACGATTTGGAAAGGAGGAAATACAAATCATCAATAAATACATGAAAAACTGCTGAACCTCACTAGTCATTGGAGAAGTTCCAACTAAAATCACATTGATATATATTGCCTTAGTCTGAATGTCAGTCATTAAGGAAGCAACACGGTTGGCAAGGTGTGGTTTAGAAGGTAAAAATTCCCTGCCACCAAGCCTGACGAACTGAGTTTGATCCCTGAAGCCCACATGGCAGGAGAGAACCGACTCCCACAAGTTGTTTCCTAATGCACACACATGATATGCTGATACACACATGCAATAGATGGATGGATGGATAATTTTAACAAAAATTTAAGAGGAAAACAACAATAAATTCTGGTATAGATGTGGACAAATTAAACATCTGGGGGGAATGTAAACTAGTCCAAATTCTACAGAAATCATTATGGCGGATTCTCAAAAAAAAATCTAAAAAATAGATCTATTACATAGCCCAGTTATATCACTCCTGACTATTTACCCAAAAGACCCAGGTCAACATATCATGGATATACTTGAACATCAATATTTACGCAAAAGTATTCATAACAGCTATGTTTTGGGGAAAAAACCTTGGAGTCCAGCAACAGATTTTTTTATCCATAAAGAAGAATGAAGTTTCGTTGTTTTCAGGGAAATGAATTCAACTGAACTCAATCATATTAAGCAAGTTAGGCTTTTCTCAGAAAGACAAATATTACATGCTTTCATCCATTCCTAGATTTTACATAGTCACATAAAATCATGTGTATATAGATTAAATGAAAATAAGTGAAATTGTCTAAGGGAGTAAATGAAGGGTTGAAAGAAGGGAATTGGGTAAGGGGTTGGGGTATATTCAATATACAATATATCTATAAGAAGAAACTGAAATGTATTTTGAAATTATTAAAAAATAAACGTCCAATTTTTAGTATAAAAAAAGTCTACCAAAAGAAAGCACAGAGAAAAAAATAAGGTTAAGAAGTTGATATTAATGAGGAAGAAACAAGAAAAAAATGCTTAAGCTGGCGGTGGTGGCACATGCCTTTAATCTCAGCACTCGGGAAGCAGAGGCAGGCAGATCTCTGTGAGTTCAAGGCCAGCCTGGTCTACAGAGTGAGTTCCAGGACTGCCAGGGCTACACAGAGAAACCCTGTCTCGAAAAACAAAACAAAAATGCTTAAGTAATAAATCAAAATCTTGTTTTAAAAATAAAATGCTAATGTCATTAGTACAAAGGGAGAAAGTACATGTCTACATACATAAAACTGAAACAAATTGTGAAGAAGAAATGACCGTTAAAGCTGGGTAAACTTAGAATTAAGTACATTAGCTGCAGGCCTCAGCAGAAACCTGGATGAAGTGTGTAATTGCTTAAGGAAATACATGCTATCAAAAATTAACATCTCAGGGTCAGAAACTGTAAACAGACCAGTTTCCACGGCATAGAGAAAATTGAGAAATTATCCCACAAAACATGAGGCCCAGATGGTTTTGCAGAAGAATTTTATCAAGCCTACATAGTTCCACTGTTCCACAAACTATTCCAGAACATAGAAAGGGAAGAAAGATTCCCAGTTACTTGTATGAAGTAAGTATAACTCTGATACCAAAATCAAGTAAAGAAATACACAGAAAAAATACAGGTCACTATATCTCATGAACATCATTAGAAAAATTCTAAGCAACTTACTATTAGAGCCTGCCACTATATGAAAAAATAATCTAACACAGCAAGTGAAATCTATTTCAACACTGTATAAGGTTGGTTCAGTATTTAAACACACACACACATACACACACATATATATATTTATCACTACGCATTACTATAAGGAAATATTATCACCACAGATTATAGTAAGCCTTTGACAAAATTTAAAGTCTATTCATAATAAATAAAAAATACTGAAGATAATAAAAGTAGATATAACTTTTCATACTCTAAATATACAGTCTTAGTCCTAAAACCAGTACTTTATTTAATGGAGAAACGCTAGAGGCATTTCTCCTAAGAATAAGAACAAGGTAAGGGGTCGACTATCTCTACAACTATTTACCCTGCACAAGAGGTATTAGCCAGAATAATTAGACAAAGATTATTGTAGACATAAAATGAATAAAATAAATTATCTCTATTTACAAATGACACATACCAGCTGGGCATGGTGGTGCACACCTTTAATCTCAGCACTTGGGAGGCAAAGGAAGGTAGATCTCTGTGAGTTCAAGGCCAACTGGAAATACATAGTGAGACCCTGTCCCTAAAAATGAATTCACAAGTAATATATACCTGGAAAATATATGAGGATCAGTGATGGAACTAACTATAATAATAAAAGTGGTTGGTGAATTAATAGGATCTAAAGTTAACATGCAAAATTGAATAGGCCTAAGGAAGAGAAGTCAGTCACAAAAGCTCACATATAAAGACTCCATTTAGATAGGTCCAAAATAAGTAAATCTAATGGGGACAATGTAGATTAATGCTTGCTTAGGCTAAGATTAGTGGGTAGTGGAGGCAAAGGTGAAGGGATATGATGCTGTGGCTGCAGTTTCTCTGTGACAGAACAAACACGCTAGAATGGGGAGTTATGTCCATAACTCTGGATGTTGTCAGAACCAGTAACTTGTGTACTGTAAATGGGTGATTGTATACATTGTTAATGAAATCTCAATAAAGTTGTTTTTAAAAGTGTAGGTGTGCTGGGCATGGTGACACATGCTCTTAATCCCAGAGTTTGGGAGGCAGAGGTAGACGGATCTCTGAGTTCGAAGCCACCCTAGTCAACAGAGTAAGTTCCAGAACAGCCAGGGCTGTTACACAGAGAAACCCTGTCTCAAAAAACCAATAACCAAAACAAACAAACAAACAAACAAAAAGCCCCAAACAAACCAAACAAACTAAGAAAATCAAGTATAATTGTAAAGCTGAACCCTCAAAGGGGATGAGCTTTTGGAAATGACTACAATGTTTTATACCTTTGCTGTGAAGTACGAAATATGTAATTTTGCAAACCTCTTCAAAACACACAAAAACTAATCCTTGCTAAAGATTTTAAATGATAGGCTTTGCATACATCTCTAATGCATTATGTAGTAAGCAACTCCACTTACAATAGGAAAGATTAAATACCAGGGAATAAATTTACCTAGATTTATGTAAAATCTATAATGAACAATTTTGTTTTGAGGTATGGTTTCTCTGGGTAGCCCTGGCTGTTCTGGAACTCTCTATGTAGACCAGGCTGGCTTCAAACTCATAAATCCCGACTTAGCCTCCTTAATGCTGGGATTAAAAGCATGGGCCACCACGTGAATGCATTTTTATTTGTTATTTACTTAAAACATTCCTGAAGGAATTCAAAAGTAGATTGAACAAACAGAACTACATCTTCTGTGTTTTAAAAGGATTTAACATTTCCCAAGATTTTATATTATATATAAATATATTATATAAACATATACTTATATATTTATATATTATATAAATATAATATATAAATCAAGTAATTAGGAATTTATATTTTTTATTGCATGTGAATGGGTGTTTTGTTTATGTACCACTTAGATGCCTGATGCCCAAGGAGACCAGAAGAGGGCGTCAAATTCCCTGGAACTGGAGTTATAAGGTGCCAGGTGGGTGCTAGGGACAAAACCTGGGTCACCTGGAAGAGTAGACAGCGCTATTAACTCATCGGGCCATCTCTCCAGCTCATGTAACTAGCAATTTCAATAATGTTCAGTGGGAATAACTAAGCATACCAAGCTCCCACTTCTCCAAGGTACTGAAGTAGCTACATCCAAGAACTTCTCTCAGGTTTCTGGGCTATCTTAAATGTCCTACAGCCCTTTTTCAGGCCACCCATTAAGTAAGTTAGAGGGATTCTCCTAGTCCATAGCTCCAAGACAGACTGAGGGGGGCTGCCTGGCTGCCTACTGAGTGGAACGTGTGTGACGACTGACAGGAAGGCTAACAGGAAGACTGACATAAGGGGAGACTGGAAGGAGGGCTGACAGGCGGCCTGACTGACTGAGGGCCGCATTCACAAGATGCCCACAGTTGCCCACAGCACCAGCCCTGACAGGAGGGTCCCGCCACCTGCTCGCGCCGCTTGCTCCAGGTCCCTGGGCGCTGTCGGCGTTCTCGACCTCCGCAGCTGGAAAGAGGTGGAGTCGGGGATGGTGGCGACCCGGGCCTGGGCGCCGGTGGGCAGCTCTCGTCCTGGGGGCCCACTCTCCACGGCCGCTCGCTCCACGACGGAGCAGGCCCCGAGCCCTGGGCCTTGATGGCGGAGACCTCGGGGGCCCCTCAACTGCCACACGCCACCGCGGTGCGAGGCGAAGCGGGTCACGTAGATCAGGGGAGGCCCCTGCGGCCGATGGTGGCTGCCGGCCGGAACCATGTCTGTCTTCAGCCAAGTAACGGACGCGCCTCAGCTCCTACCCGGGCAGGACTGGGGTGTGTGTATGTGTTTGTGTCTGTGTGTGTGTGTGTTTGTGTGTGTGTGTGTGGGGGGGCAGGCCACGTGCAGCAGGCGGGAGGGGTGGGGAGACGTGGGAGCAGACCAATGAGAGCAGTGGGCGGGGCTTCCTGTAGCCCACCCCCCATGGGGCGGGGCCGGGGAACTGGAGGCCAGACCACTGGAGGAGCTTGGTACTGGGTTTGGGAAGTTGAGGAGTGGACCACTGAGTAGCTGGGAGTCCGGGCTCGAGGTAAAGAAGGAATTAAGGAGAGGAGGGACGGTAGGTGGCTAGAAGGCAGAAGCCTAGGGAGGCCCTCTCTGCCCGAAGTTGGGAGGCAGGGAAAGCCATCGTGTAGAGGTAACAGGAAGGTCCTTAGCGGGAAGGATGGTCTTTTCTATCAAGTACTATAAAACGTGTTTAGGATAAGGAATTAAAATATTTTATTGTAAGATTTTTATGCAATGTAAAAGTTTTCCTCTCCTCCCAGGAAAACTGTGATTTTCACAAATGTCCATGGCTCTATTCTAGGAATCTGATGGCTTGGAGCAGTGGCATTTTCGCTTTCCTCCTCTGTTTCCTGTAAGCTGATTCTTTTTTTTTTTAGACAGGTTCTCTCTGTGCAGTCCTGGCTCTCCTGGAACTCACTCTGTAGACCAGGCTGGCCTCGAACTCAGAGACCCGCCTGCCTCTGCCTTCCGAGTAAAGGCGTGTGCCACCGCTGCAGGATTTATAAACCACTGCTTCTCAGACTAGCCACTCGAATATGGTTGTGAGGTCAGATCCCAGCCAATGAAGACAAGGCACAGGCACCACCTGAGGTAGAACTGAAACCAAGTGCACTTCCTGTTTCAGTGTTCACTCTTTCTAGTGCACACTTGATTGTGAGTCCAGACATGTCGGTTGGAGTAGTGATCTCTTTCTTGCTACTGCTGATCCCACCGGTCGAGAATAAGACCACCACCACCATCTTAAGCCAGATTTGAAGCAAGCTTTAGTTAAATACTGGCCAGGAAGGTGGACTCTGGCCAGGGCCACTCCTGGGTTCCCAGGAAATGGCCACAAGTTGTGTTTTGCAGGGACGTGAAAAGGAAAAACCCATAGAGTCACCGTGTTTCCCATCAGGTCTAGTCAGGGGCAAGCATATATCCTGATGCGTTTCCTGCCCACGCTGCCTCCTGCCCACACGTGATCAAGCATGTAGTGTAGATAGGTCAGACAGACAGGAACTCACTCTTAACTGCAAACAGAACTCTCAACCTGCAAGGCATAGGTTTCCCGTTTCGGTCTCACTCTAGTTCAAACATGTTTCTAACAGGAAGCAAACAATTAAGGGGAGAATTCCTCTGACGAAATGAGCTAAACCGAGAAGAAGGTGAGAGACTGGAACCAGGTCAGCCTCATGGTTGGTTGGTTGTGTGGAGAATTTCAGTGTGAGGACCTAACACTGGATCTGTCTGGAGAATTAATCAGATAAAGCTGGAAGGCCTGGGGAGAAGACAACCCTTTGCTGCCATAGGTAATGGCTCTAGTCCTGGAGAGACACCCTACAGAGAGAGCACAGACCTCACAGCTCACCTCGTCCTGGGCTAGCTGCTGGCCAGTTAGGCTTTTTCCAGCCAACCTTTTTCCTTCCCTGAGTCTCTATTACACAGTTATTTCCTCCCAACGGAAACATGCTTCCATGAAGGTAGACACTGTAAGGCTCAGGAAGTAAATAAAATCAAAGCTTCTGAACGTCACAAGCTTCCTAAAGCCTTTCCCCAAGGTTCTGTAAGCAGTTCCCAATTGCCAGGGAGGGAACTGTCCACCACTGGTTTGCCAGCAAGGTGGGCAGAGAGTCCAGGGGATGATGCTCTCCCCAGTCCAGGCTTTCCGGGTGGACTTTTCTATTGTGCATCTGTTTCTGAGTCATTGACGTTCATGTCAGTAACTTCTCATCAATACCTCTGTAAGTAAGCACAAGAAATTCGTTGGCTCATTGCGCTAGAATTGAATAGAATCTCTCCCCCTCCCCCGTCTTTATAGGTGTCTAGAGTGAGCAGATGTCTCTTTACATCTGCTAGGAAGTTATGCAATGTCTGCTTTTCCTTGGATGTAAGAATAAATCACAGCAGGGCATACTGAGGGACACATACAAAGAGGTTGTTCCTCAGATTGGAATGCCGTTTTCCATTTACTCAGCACATAGCCTGTGAGGTGCATACTGTAGTTTATTTACATTTAAATTTTATTGATAGTTTTCCTTTTGCTGTTTCATGGCAAGGGAATGAGGATTACAAAATATGAAGGGGAACCTCCAAAGTAATAAAATATACATTCCAAATATCCCTGTTCTATTGAATTCTAAATCTGTGCAGAACAGAGAAAACATCAGTCGAAAGCTGGCTGGGTTTTCAGACACTCAGTGCACCATTGTAATTAGTGTCTGTTCAGACTAATCAAGGGGCAATAAGGAAATACTTCGTATCCTTTCCCAATTTCAAGTGCCATCGGTTAGGGTTGTCCTTTGTGTTTGACCCTTTTCACTCAATTTGTATTTGTGAGATTGTCATTGCATGATTTAGTATGTCATCCTTCATCCATTCCACTAGTAGGGACGTTTGTTTCTGATTTAGGACTAATGTTAAACATATATAGAAAAATATATTTTGTGAAACATATACTATCGGGTACATAGCCCGGTGTGGAAATACTTGGGACATTCGCATGCTTGGCTTTACTAGCTGCTAATGAATAGGTATCCGGAACTCCACCCTACAAGTGAGAAGAATCACAGTTGCTTCATACACGGTTCCTATAACGTCATATTATCAGTCTTCTGAGAGGTGTTTGTGTTGGTTTATCCAGAGAGACAGACTGTGTGTGTGTGTGTGTGTGTGTGTGTGTGTGTGTGTGTGTGTGTGTCTGTAAAAGGAAGAGGCAGGCCTAGAAGCAGAGACTGGTAGACAGGGCACACAGTAACAAAGTAGAGAGCCGGAAAAGGTTGATGCTCAGGATCCCATCTAAAGGTCATCTGCTGGTAGAATTCCACTCCCTTTCCCCGAGGGCAATCCTTTGCTATTAAGATGGTCAGCTGATTGAATAAAACCTGCCCTCATGCACTGAGCTGAACAGAGATCTCTCAACAGAAGAAGTTCAAATGGCCAAAAGACACCTAAGGTCATGCTCACAACTTCCTTAGCGATCAGGGAAATGCAAATCAAGACAACTTTAAGATACCATCTTATACCTGTCAGAATGGCTAAAATCAAAAACACCAATGATAGCCTTTGCTGGAGAGGTTGTGGAGAAAGGGGTACACTCATCCATTGCTGGTGGGAATGTAAACTTGTGCAACCACTTTGGAAAGCAGTGTTGTGGTTTCTCAGTAAATTTGGGATCAACCTACCCTTGGACCCAGCAATACCACTCTTGGGAATATACCCAAGAGAGGCCTTATCATACAACAAAAGTATATGCTCTACTATGTTCATAGCAGCATTGTTTGTAATAGCCAGAACCTGGAAACAACCTAGATGCCCTTCAAATGAAGAATGGATGAAGAAAGTATGGAATTTATACATATTAGAGTACTACTCAGCAGTAAAAAACAAGGACTTCTTGAAGTTTGCAGGCAAATGGATGGAAATAGAAAACACTATCCTGAGTGAGGTAAGCCAGACCCAAAAAGAGGAACATGGGATGTACTCACTCATATTTGGTTTCTAGCCATAAATAAAGGACATTGAGCCTATAATTCGGGTTCTTAGAGAAGCTAAATAAGAAGGAGAACCCAAAGAAAAACATATAGGCATCCTCCTGAATATTAACCTTCATCAGGCGATGAAAGGAGACAGAGACAGAGACCCACATTGGAGCACCGGACTGAAATCTCAAGGTCCAAATCAGGAGCAGAAGGAGAGAGAGCATGAGCAAGGAACTCAGGACCGCGAGGGGTGCACCCACACACTGAGACAATGGGGATGTTCTATCGGGAACTCACCAAGGCCAGCTGGCCTGGGTCTGAAAAAGCCTGGGTTAAAACCGGTCTTGCTGAACATAGCGGACAATGAGGACTACTGAGACCCCAAGAACAATGGCAATGGGTTTTTGATCCTACTGCACCTATTGGTTTTATGGGAGCCTAAGCAGTTTGGATGCTCACCTTACTAGACCTGGATGGAGGTGGGTGGTCCTTGGACTTCCCACAGGGCAGGGAACCCTGATTGCTCTTTGGGCTGACGAGGGAGGGGGACTTGATTGGGGGAGGGGGAGGGAAAGGGGAGGCGGCGGTGGGGAAGAGACAGAAATCTTTAATTAATTAATAAAGAAATAAATAAATTAAAAAAACCTGCCCTCATTATAGAGAGTAATATGATTTGCCTGATCAATAGGTTTAAATATTTATCTCATGAAAAACTTGACATCTGCTCATAAAAATATGTAGGACTGTTTCATCAGAAACGTGCACATCAAGACCTTTTTAAGACAGCCATAATATCAGCTATTACAGTGTGGTTGTGCGTGGTTATAATATGCATTTCCCCTACCAACAGTGAAATCGAGCTCATCAAGCACTTGGATAATATTCCTTGCATTTAAATCTGTCTGATATATGTATCTCTCATAGCTCTTGCTCATAATAAGTTAAGAATTTATTTTGGAATTATTAATATATTCAACATATCATCCATGGCTTACCTTTGAAATCTTTTCATGGAAATTTGATGAATAAAGTTTTAATTTTAATGCAGTCCAAACCATTGGTCTTTTTCTAGAGAATCATACATTTGGTGCTTGATTTCATAAATACTGACTTATTCTTAGAAATTGATATCTTTTATAAGCTTTATTTTTATCTTCACATTTATATCTAGGATCAATAATATAGACAGATCACAATTAATTTTTCCATATAAATATTCCATTCACTATGAGCTTAATCATAAATGATAGTAAACTCCTTCCCTTGCGGCTCATCTTAAAGGAAAGCCCCAGTCTTTCACTATTAAGTAATGTTTACTTAAGTTTTTAAAATTAGTTTCTG